TGGCGTTACTTCCTTAGACAAGATATAAACTGAAGCACTAAAACACGAAGAAGAGCATGTATGCTCCAGAATATACATGTATATCTTGTAACAGGTATCGTGTTCAGTGTCTATATGTTTCAAGCAAAACATTATGAATCCTCAGAAGGGTATAACTTAACAATAGTACGGTCATTTTAATCTACGAAATTTTGATTCTCTTCAATCGTACAGAATTCTGAAAACCTTGTTACAGGGATGGAAATAGTCAGTGCAGTGTTTTGAAGCCGTTTTTTACTCTTTTGTAACTGACAAATACAAAAAGAAAGACATGAAGTAAATATATTGTGAATTACACTGCTTTTACTATGTTAAAATGTCAGTTGTGAATCACACCAGTTACAGTGCAATATTTAAAAGTTGAAGAATGGATATATCAATTCTTGAAAATACGATTATTCGACAAACTCTACTGAACTAAACAAGAAAATCAATAGATTTGAGACGGTGACGTTTCCACTAAAGAGTATTGCTAAGATAGCGTTTCTAAACCACCTAGTGCCTGGTACGGCTGAAAGTGGGGAGAGTCAGCTCTCCCTCTCGAAATGCTCTCCCATGGCTACGCGTATACAGCCACTGCCACGAAGGCCTTACTCATTACCTTCTCGCGAAGGGGATTTTATTTACAAAATCAACAAGGAAAACAAATGCACAGCCGTTTAACCGAGTCGATGGATATAGAGGATTCAACTAGGGGATTTGGTAAAGCCTGCTTCCAAACCAATGGTGCACATGGACTCCAGGATCCTCAGAAAACAAATGACGTACGAACCTAGTGTTGGTCACCGGCTACCATGGGACTGCATCTCCTGACGTTGCTCCACTGCCTTGTGGATCAGACCTTTAGGTCGAAGGCTCCAGTTTTGGCCTCCTAAGAAAACCACCTGCTTCGGTTTGGGCCTTCGAGCAGTATTCCAACCCACACACAAACCAAATGATAATTATTACTGAAACAATTACTCTTGCCTTAAATCTCCTTCATCCAAATCATATTCATAGTCATTTGATAACACTCGTTTTTATTTCTTTTATACCACGTCACCTATCTACTTCCTTTTATCCTAATTTTGTGTATTCTTTCATTTTCAACTATACAGCAGCTCGCATACGGTAGAAACCCCGTCCTACCTAAACGATATCACTCAGTGACTGGTTGAAAGTTGAATGCCACCACCGACTACGAATACTAAACTAGTCTTTTTGAAACCACGTTTACCATTTACACTCCCCTTCTTCAACGTTCACATAATAATGTAAATAGGAAAACAGATACGGTTGTCTGTCTTTTGAAAGTCTCAACATCACTGTATGTCGTCTATTCGAGACCCGTATTCAAGACAGTATTGACGCACCACGAATTCTTTCTCCATCTGTCGCTTCAAAAAGCTTGTTTTACGTGCGTTTATCCGGGGATCCTGTGGCATCTTCGTCTGGTTTTGCTGGCGTTGGCGTCACACTGAGCGTTAGAGCTGAGGCAGCACTAATCGATTGGATCCCCATTAACAGTCGGTTATGTGTTATTAGATTAGGAAGTTCCATCAAAGTGAGAAATCGGTGTGAAAAACAATCTCTTTTCGTCATCTCCGCCTATGCCCCGACAGATTTCAGCCCGGATGAGATCAAGGATGAGCTTTACGATCAGTTGACAGTTCTTCTCCAGAAAGTGCGTTTGACAGATATAGTAGTACTAGCCGGAAACTTGAATGCTCAAGTCGGGCACAGAAGAGCCGTTTAGGTGGCCAATGAGTTGTTGGTCTCAGGTCAGATAACGGTGACCGTATACTGCAACTGTGCGCAGAATATAACCTGTTTCTGGCTAGCACTAACAATCGGCACAGTCATACCCGATTTGTTTTCGTGACGTTAGTATGGCTGTAAAAGTTCGGATCTACTACGCGTTGGTGAGAAGAGTTTTGGTTTATGCTTGTGAAACCTGGCTTCTCCGAGTTGAAGATAGTAGACGACTCAGTGTTTTATCATCGTTGTCTTCGAAGGATTGCTGACATCCAGTGGCAACACCCTGTTAGTAATGCAGAGGTCCGGCATCGTCTGTTCTGGCACTATCGTGAAACATTGACTTCGGTGGCTTGAACATATCTTACGAATGTCATCTCAGAGATTTCCACGTCGTGCACTAGTTGACGACGCTGGGACTGATTGGAAAAAAGTGGAAAGGTGGTCAGTCTACGAAATGGTGTCATAATATGAAAGAAGGATATACAAGACTGGTTTATGTTGGTCTTTCGCGACTCCCTGGTTGGAGTCTTAGAGGTAATACAACACAGTGGTTAGAGACGTTATCACATATGGCTCAGAATGGAAGCCAGTGACGATCCTGCTGTAACTCTTTCACTTTCTTCATAAAAATGAACGTAACATCTCTAACTGAAAGGGTTCTTTCTGGCTGTACTTTTCATAACCAGACTGTTTCTGCTACTATGATTATTATTTTACTGCCGTATACTGATTTATGTTTATTGTACTTATTTTTTATTATACGCACTTTACATTCTCTATTTCTTCACAAACTCATTTTTATTGTGTGGCGCATATGTATTTGGTGCCCCCTTGTACCAATTTTTATGTGTTCAAGCAAATAAATGATAAAAAACACTCTCTACAGATTGTCCTTCTAAGTAAGTCTCTGCTGCATAGAAAAGGAGACGAATTTTGGCCATCAATTGATCTTGATACAGTCAGGAGAGATCGTTAGTAGTTATTACCATAATGAAAAAAATGACTAATAACTTATTACCCAATAACAAATTATTTTATGGCAAATGCGTAACACCGAATATTGGGGATAGTGACGAGACATATTACGTCACAAGCGAAGAATTTCACTTACGTCAGTTTTCTATTTTTATGATAATACTCAAAATAAAATACAAATAATCCAATCAGGAACAAATACTAAAGCATGAGTTATGCTTTTTCCCAATAACATTTAACCTAACCACAGATGCTACAGGAAATGCGTTCACCGAACAGTTAAAGTACGTTCAAAGCCTCAGTATGATCACTTCTGCTGCACAATTGTATGCATATAATATTTCGTACAGATGTAAAGTACCCGCAACACTTTTATTGATAACTCCAACGAATTATACATTGAATTCGCTAAATACGATTCCAAACACATTTGGAATAGAACCCTTAGAAAACAGAAGAGATGAACAATATTTTTGTTATCCTTCAGAGGAATAAGCGATTTGTGAGAAAACATTGAATAATTATTTTCCGTTAGAGTTTTAAAAAACTGAGGGTTATAATCGCATGTAGCAAAGTTTAGCAAACAAGTGACCTTGAGACTGAATAAAACTACTAACTACAGACACTAAATTATCCGAAAAATAAAAATAATAAGATATATTTAATACATTCAGACGTCAATCTCTGGGGAATAAAGAGCGACGAATCTCTCAGGTTCCCAAAAAATCTGCCTAATCCAAACGAACTCCGATAGTACAATTTACTACCACATTCCTGAAAAGATTACATGATGGATAGCTAGTAGTCTTAAACAGAATCAAATTTAAGCACCACTTTGGTACCCACCTTTATATTTGATCGGATGAAATTAACTTTACGAAAACTGAGTACTCTTGGAACGAAATGACCAAACATTATGACCACATAGTGAAAATGGATAAGCTGTCGTGCTATCAAATTGAATTTTGTAGTTAGAAAAATAATTGTACGAAGTAAATACCAGAGAACTCTGAATGTGTCTCCCATCGATAGTTAACCCATATGAACGAAGCTCATTATGTAACTTATATTAAATTAGATCGATTGTTTAATTTATTTAAAAGAATATGGAATTACAATACTATTAAGCAACTGACCGAAGTCCTCTACTAAGCAGATACTTATTTTCAGCAATACTTCCAGCCCATATAGTGCAATTACTGAGTACTATCAATTCTAAAATTCTATAATACACATGATCTAAGAATCCGACTGATAAATAAAAGATAATATTTATGATCCTATATAGAAAGCTAAACACTATACCAAGACAAGCATATATACACTGATGCACCTTCATTTAGCTACGAAGGTCTTCAGGAAGATTTGTGGTACGTCAACGAATGAATAAACGTCGAGAGCTAGAAAAAGTTAGTCTATGTCTCTAGTGAGATATGAGGAGACTTATATATTATATCCTTAGCAAAATCCCTGTTTCAACTACTTTAAAATAATGGAGGTTAGTTCTTGGAGCGCAATAATTTAAACTAGATGACCACAGGTTGGAACCCTATGTAAGTTACTCCAATTCGCGTATTTCGGTAGCACCAACGGAATTCACGTGCTGTAGACGAGAAACGAGTACGCCATTTGAACTCAGTGAATTGCATCACTGAATTAATTGGTCTACTACACAGGAAGAGCTTACTGTCCCAAAAATGGGTTGAGCACGACGTCAATTAAGTGAATAAAACATGGTTAATGGGGTTAAGCATGACTTCTTCCACAAATTAACTGGAGTAGTTCAAGATGAAGCATGAAGTTTCGAAAGTGTGGGATGATAAATGTTGGAAAGATATTATTTGATATTGTATAAAAACTAACCACAAAATAATATCACTCTTCATTGGGAAGATGAGGCTTAAATCAGGTCTCTAAGAAACAGATGTTGAACTTAGAAATATTATTCGAGGTATAATGCAACCACACGTTTCATTATCAGGTTGAAAGCTGTATCAATTAGACCGATAACTGAACCACATTACAAACGGGACCCTTATGTATGGAGAAAGCTCTAAACACATAAATTATTAACTAGGAATTATGTCCAGACAAATATCCACAGCTGTACTCTTACATATTTTTGTGTATCTAATCGGAAAGTATACCGTTTTAACGGAACAGTTCGTTGAAGCACCCAAATGGAAACAAAATAAATAAAAAAACCTTCTAATAACACTGAATAATACTGTTAAGTTTAATAGACGTACGTATAGACAGGGTGTCTCATTCAGATGCATTGATCCATAATCAGCTTCCTGCGTTTCATCTCTTCGAGTAACTAAGGATAAAAATTAAGTGTTAGAACACTCAATAGACAAATTGAAGTGACGATCATACCAGCCCATGAGCTCATTTGATTTAAAAGACGCTAAAATCTATCAGCTGACAGTTCTGATATTTGTAACTGGCTCTTCCAGTCCAACGTTTCAATTAGTATGTTACAGATAATCTGAACTTTGCATCATTGACCTCTATAATAGTTTATCCCAGATAGCTTAAATAATTGTAGACGAAACTCTGAAGTTTTTAGTTGATGACCATTCTTATCTAACATACAGTGTGCTAAATATCTTTGTGACAAGTTAGTAGTAATCAACTGTTTTCTTTGAATTCAGATTTTGGTGATAGGAGATGGTCCTAGAAATTTCAAAAACCTGAAACTTACTACTTGCCAACCTTGATTCACTATTTCTAGTGAGTCTGGTAGTTATTTGTGTTCCCGTGGCAAACATCATTCGACCAACCATCTCTACGTGCGAGATAGACGTAACCTTCATCGAGTTATGAAGAGCTTCCCATAAAGTCCCTCAAGTTGTAGTGAAAGAGAAAAAGAACAAGTAATACTGTGTTTATGAGGATACGCGACTTTCCATTTTGTGTGACTAACCGTACCCACATCCTGACGTCATCAGACTTGTTATACATCAACCATTTTTGTGAAATAGACTATTCTACCAAATTCATTAGTTCTTTTTGCGCCACTCTCTGACATTTGGAAGACGCCGAACAATGACTTCAAGGTGAAAAAGATCTTTATCGACCTCTAAGGAATAAGTAAATACTTTTTAAGAAGGGCCGAATTCAAATACTCCTAATTATCACATTGGCGTCGCAATGGAGCCTGTGATGGAATTGCCGTATATACATTCAGATTTTGATGCTTTTGAGAATTATTTGAAAGGTTCAAAATCTGGGCTATGAACAGAGAAGATGATGAGGATATTAATATTGTGGCACATTGCTTCAAATTCATCGGAAAAGAAGCATAAATCTTATTAAAAACTCTACCTTTATCAGAAAAGCACTTTTCGCTTCCTTATGAATTTCTGAAGGAACTACTGCTAGACTATGTTAAGCACGCAAATATCGACTGCGGTAAAGAAGGAAGATTTCGTAAAATGATTCATCAGGACATCAAAAATTCCACTACATTACTACGTTATCCCAATCCAGTGAGTACTCAATGTTATGCTGATAATTCATTGAGGATATGTAATACAGTTCACGAAGGTGAGACTGTAGCGTTAAATAAATCCCCAAAATAAATAGCCCTGTAAGTTTTCGACATTGGATGCTGACAAGATTAGTTTTAGTGGACTCACCTGGCTGAAGGCACTCGGTCATGCATCCTTACCAGATCACGAGTGGGAACGCTGTGCTCAACTGCTTCTGCAATCGCTAGCCAGATTAGATCAGATAATTCCGATATTTTGGCAATCGTCAAATACAACTTCTGATCTCCTTGATTCGGTCTTTTGATTTCTCTTGGTGGGTACGAGTTATATTAGAAGGTGTTACTGGTAAAAGCGTTGTCAAACACTAAATACCTGTGCCATCTTCAAGATCAAGTTTGGTAAATGTTTATTCTGTGGCAAGCTTCATTCTCGTAATTCATGTGCATTACGTAATGCTAAATGTGTTAAATGTGGTGAGATTGGACGCATTCAGTCAGTTTGTTCAACTAATGTTCATTTCGCCGCAATTGATGCTAAGATCTGTAATTCTGATCCTGTTAAGTTGGGTCATTTACACTTATCCACGACTTCGAAAAGTGGTATAGGGTCGCATAGCAGACCAAAGTTAAATGAAACTTTGAATCCTTGTGAGACAACTGTTTTAATCAATCACCTTGCCAGATTTATCATGTTATTGTACCAGATATGGTTTTTCCTAATGATTCACATATTTCCGATACAATTTCTTACAAATCTGAGGAAAATATGTTGGGTGAACCTAATCATGATCAAAAACCTTATGTAGTTTTGGTGGGTGCTGATCTTTCTAATGATCCATCACGCTGCGATTACATTCCTAACAAATTCGAGGAAACTATTTCAGAAGAATCAAATCTTGATGTCATATCAAATATTATTTTCCTCATAATACATTTGTTTCTTGTGGGAAACTTGTTCAGTGCAAAGCACAAGCACTAGATGAGCTCGATTTTCATTGCGTTTCGGATGATTTCATATCAACTGCTGTTTATCCTTATCACGAAGTCACTCCTAATGTTTACTCTAACCAATGTGAGAAATATGTTTTAAATGAAGCCAAATCATTCATAACTTGTGGATATAAAGATCCAACATTATTTCGTGGGGGAGGATAGTCGAAAAGTCTATGGTTCAAATCCTAGGTAGCAGTAGTTTCAGTATTCAACCGACATGGTGACTGTACACAATCACAGGAAGCAAGTGAGTCTGTTCCGATTTTGGTTGTTAATTCTAATACTAATGAGTGCATTCTAGACAATACAGAGTCTTTATCCAATACATTGTCGGACGGATACAGGATGAACTTAATGAGAAGACGTACAATCAATTACAGACACTTAGACTCCAATTTAAGCTGTGGTGGATGTAGTGTTTGAATGAACTAATGATTCCTTTGTACTTGTTGAATGCTTGATTTCCAATCCCAAATACAGTACAGTCGTTAGTGCTTATCTAGTACTTCTCGATCCGATTGCGTTATTTCTGGGACTCTTAGTTAAAACTATATTTCAAATACTTCTGATCATCATAGATCTGCAAACCAGTACACAATCGATAGTATTATCCGCTAATTATTTTATTGAACTTCAAAGGGTACGTAAAGCTCTCGGTAACTTTAGAACCAAACAGTCTCTGTTTTTTACCCCAGTTATCGCCCCTAGAACCGTGTATTGTTCAAAGTCAGTTGGACTCTATATGGCATAAACAATCAATTGGAAAATTGTGCGACCGTAAATTACTCATTAGACCATTGTTAGAGCTGGCCATGATAGTTGGAAGGGATTAAACAGGGTGAGCAGGCTCGGCAAAGTATCTTCACATCTTTGTTGGTTATAACTGTAAATATTATTTTTGTATACATGTATATATCATATTCCTACACTTTTTGTTGTCGTTATTATAACCAGTGTTACCTCCGGACACTCTAGGGGGAGCCATGTGGTGGTAGACCTGGCAAGCTTATTTTGTAAATAGTTTTTATTATTATTTGTATTTATTTTGTCAACCTTTAACTGTATGTATATTTATCATTTTATTGTACTGTACCTGTTGTTTTAGTCAATGACCTTGAACACACTTTTCCGTTGTGCAACCACAAGCGTGACATATTGTTGCTTGCTAACAAATACATTGTTACACACATATCCTCGTTCTGTTTTCGTTTGTGATTGAGCTAACTGGAACCTAAATCAAATACTACCTACATTTATAGACTGTGAGTGTGAATATGCCATACCTTGCATTGGATTACACTACTGGAGAGTTCGTCAACCAGATTGGAATTGCCAAGCATTTATAATTGTGGTTTCTTAGTACCGGTCCAAAGCCGAACACGCATCAATTTGGTGAACTTAAGTAAAGTCCCAACTTTCTATTGTATTTGTAATAATTAAGTTATATATATTAACATTTCTATTTATTAACTTTGTTGGTACTTTTTGCGTTTATATATCGTCTGGTCCACCACACACCATTTTCGACACGCCATACGTCAACTATTCTCACTATTCTATGGATAATTCACCAAGTAACCGTTGACTTCCTTATGATTTATATATGAGGCCAAGCGAGTGAAAACAAATTTTATCAGTGTCAACCAATAATAATGGATTGCGACACCTCTAATGTTTAAAGAAGATTAATTAGAATACTCTCAGAGTAGTCAAGCTGTCAACTAATGAGAGATGACGCGAACCAAATTTTTCTTATTATTAAAGAGACCTAAACAGATCTGACCTCAGTACTTAGTGATAATTTTCCGCCTGGAATGTCTTTCGTAGTTTTTCCCAGAAAAGCACATTTTCGTGGAAACTGTCAGTTGATGAAACCCATTTAAAATCGAGAGCTTGAAGGACAGAACATGCAAATACTTGAAAGCGTCAGATGTATCAAAGGGCAACCATATAAACAAACTTTGAATATTGACTTAATAATAAAAAATTTTCACCTCACTTCCAGGTCGCCTAAATAGAACTAGGGCTTTATTTGTATTTATTTTTATTTCAAATAACGTTCGAAAGGTGGCGCAAATATTTTCCGAGATGAGTACTCATTAACGTAAGTTTTGGGTTAAATCACATATCCACGTGTTGGACGTTTGTTCCAAAGAGTCTGAAGTGTTGTTATGTTTTAGTTTCAAGTCATGAACTTTGATGAAAAAGTCTGGAAATGTATGTTTTCTTAGCTAGTGATTCAAAAATTAGTTTCATATGTGAAGAAAACTAAATTAGTCAGTTGAGTCTTTAGGGTCGATAAACATGACGACGATGAATGGCACTATATAAAAGTTTGTAAATAAATTAGAGAAACTTTTCGAATGATAGTGATAGGAATTTTGGAAATAACGTAGATCCAATGGCCATGTCGACAGGTTTGAGGTTACTAGGTCGTAACAATATTCTATTCAAAATGATTTACACGAGAATAGCGAAGCATTTGTCATGGGAAGAGGCTTTGGTAAGGGAATGCTATACGTGAGTGTCGAACATATCGTCAAAATCAGAATGATTTACAACTGCCAATCCACCAGCATCTCTCTCCTAACTGACGCAATTGAAAAATTCCGAGTGTCGTGTAGCATGTGAGTATTCTACCACAAATTTGTGATAAGATGAGCCAACTCAATTCACTGAAAGTAAAAATAATTACGGATATCTGTGGATAGAATTAGCGATAGTTCATAAGTTTTATTGCTGTTCAGAATCGTAGGTAAATGTTCCGATTTTTCTGGGTTCTGGTGTCTGGCATTAGCGTTAAAAATATACCAGTATCCGGACAAAGACAGTTTTTAGGTTTAGGTACGTAATTAGTTAACAGTATTTGGTGTACACGTCTTTGTTTACGGTGTACGTACTAGTTCATTAACTGGATACATATCTTGCGGCTAAAATACTTTGATGAACTAAACTAAGCCACCTAAAAAGATTATAAATCTAATTCATGACCGATTTCAGGAAGCAGAATCATGCTTGTATTTCAGTTTATACTGTTCAGTTGACAGCTACGAATTCGAGACTCAGACCCAGGACTGAACCTAAAAAGGAATATCAGAATATAGATTTTGATTTCAGCGGAGTTTGTTCTATGAGATGGATGGTTTGATT